TAGGGCAGTCAGATGAATGTTTTGAGTTTTTTTATCAGCTCTAAGGCTCTTGGCTTTTCTGGCTGCATTGGATTGCTGTCTCCTGCCCAAAAAATCAGACTTTATTGGACCTGAGAACCTTGCAGCCGCCCAGCTCTCCAGGACCAACCAGGCCTGATCGCTTGGGGATTAAAACACAAGATGCCCATGAAGTGGCCAAGCCTGGAGAGCCTGAAAGGCTGGGAACTGCTGCCCCAAACAAAAGCAAAGCTTTCCTCTTATCGCTCTCTTCCAAATCCAACCAACCAATTACACATTAATTAAACTTTGTTTGAACATAATAGAAACTTTGGCTCCATGTCAGTAACTGCTCCACGGTTAAGGGGATTGGATAGGAATAGAATAAATAAATAAACAAGAGATGCTTATTCTAACAGTTCATTTTAAAACAATTTGTGAATATCATGTAGAGATAAAATGTGCCTAGCATAAACTTAGCTAAGCAATGACTAGTTTATTATCAGAACAAATAATTCACTCGCACATCATCTTTGAAGCTTGGGAGGGCTACGGAATTGTGCTGCTTGTTTATTTTCCTGGCTTTTACTGGTTTTGCTACATTTCATCTGCAGAGGGCTGTGGGGAAGGGCTTAGCCGGGGCTGTGGCAGTGCGGTGACAATTCCCAGCGACGCCGTCCCCGCTCCCACCGTCCCCACAGCCCCCCTGCCCTCCCCAGGGCATCATCCTGCACCTCAGCCCCCAACAGATGGGTGCCAGACTGGGGTGTTTTAATGCCCTATGAGATGCCCTGCTCGTGTAAGAGTGAGGCACCGTAGCCTTCCTCCTGTGATCGCTTTCTTTGAGGGCAGTTTTCTTGTGTAAACATAAAAACTGATTTAATTTTGCCCATCTGGAGGGCAGTGGGAGCTGCTGCCATCGCACAGCAGCACTGTGCCTCTGCCAGTGCAGGGAGGGAGGTTGAAAGGAGCCTGGTGTCCCTAAACCCAGCAGGGAGCTTTGAGGGGTGGAGGAGACCACCAGGATGGTGCTGAGGAGTCGGGATGGTCCTTTCTTCACTGGGTTGAGCTGGAGGGAAGGAGAATTGGGGTTTGAATGGGTCCAAAGTTGAGGTCTACTGGCTGTTTTGCAGAACAGGCTGATGCTTGGCTGCTGGTGTCCCCCGTGCACCACCAGCTCCTGGGCTCCCCGGTCCCTGGGCGGGCAGGGGAGCTGTGGGGCTGCCCCGTGGCAGCTGGGAGCAGCCCTCACACCCACTGTGTGCTGGCGGGTTAGACACACACCTTGTGTGCCTTTCAAAAAAAAAAAAAAGGCCTTTTTTTTTCCTCTTTAG